CATCCTGTACTTCGCAGCGCTCAAAACACGCGCAGGTTCATTGACCGGTCACGATGGCGAGCCCGACAAGAAGCTTGTATAACTTTATCTTTTTTTTTTTTGTTGCTCCCACAAGTGACAGCACAGTAACAAATATTGATTTTTATTTTCATGGTGACACCACATTTGTAATGCCGAACCTGCATGTTATAATAAATGTTGCGTTATCAGACAATTACTGACAAATTTCTGGGTGGTAACGAAAGCGAAAGTAGATCTTGATTTTCCAGTCGAGCCTTGGTGACATAATTCTGCTTGCCGTCAAAGCCGCCAGTTCGCCTGAAACGTACTCTCAGAGCCGAATTAATATCACAATCGCGACATGCAGAAATGAACTTAAAGACGTTATTGGATTTGGTTTTCAAATTTTCGAGATCTTTTATGTATTTTCCCGGGTCTCGGCTATTTTTTTAAAATTCCCGGAGCCTGGCAGTCACTCTGCTCCCAGCAACTCTTTTTCTGATTGGCCCGCTGTCGCGGTAGCGGAGTTTAGCGGAGGAAATGGCGGTAGAGGAAATCCGCTAAATAGCGGACTATTGAGACCCATGCTTTATAGAAAAAGTTGACAGATCAAGGGACCTCACACATTCCACACACCGGGGACAGCATAGGGAACACATTAACAGCTCAGGAAAATCAAGTGTCATAATAAATCTAAAAAAGCATTTGTATAGCGCAAATTCCCACTCTATATCACATTTTACCTTGCCGTGAGGTGTCGAGACTGGCATCCGAGGCCCAGGAGTCATTGTACAACACAGCAGAACTTGGCTCGGACGGACACTTAGACCGGTAATCATCCCACGATGCCGGAGAGGCAAAGGACGAAGACAGATCATGTCCAGACGGTGTGGAGAACTTCGGGGTAGGAGCGGGCGCTCTGAGTCCGGGGCCGGGCTGGGCATGGGGCGGGGTAACACAAGGTCGAGTCCAGCCCTGAGCTGGTTGGACGGGAGACAGGCCGCTGGGAGTTCCATTCCATGAAGACTCCGACTGTTGTTGAGCTGGTCTGTTTAGAACTGGAGATCGTGAGCTTAGCCTTCTCCTGAAAGGGGAACCCACTCCCCTACCCGCAGCCGGTGACCCGCGTGAGCTAAGGACACTAGCTCGAGGCGACAGTCTCGGTTTTTTCCAGTCTCTGCCTGGGGTAGAAGTCCTTTGAGCACTGGCCAGACTGCGACCACTGAGAGAAAATGCGGGTCTGCGAGCTGGCAAGGTAGCCTGAGATTTACCCCCAAGTGGTGACAGTCTTTGACTTTGAGTAGTGGCTGTCGTTGCTGCTTTAGTCACAGCGGGTGCCCCACCTTTCCCATTCTCCTCAACTTTTGCGTCTGCTGGCAAAAAACTCTCCAGTCCAGGAAGCTCCTCATTGTCTCCCTGACCTTGTAGTTCCCGCATCATGGAAGCGTTGGCTGCGATCTCACCAGCAATATCATTCAGCGAGGGTTTTTCTTCCGCCGGTAAAAGACGATAGCGGCCCTCCGACTTTGTGGTCTGTGCCTCTAACAACTCCACCATCTGAGGACAGGAAATGATTAATGAACTCACTGTCAGGTCAGGTGACAACCACTCAAAGATTAGAGCCACATTTCACCATCAATATACTTGGACAAAAGAAACCTTGAAAAGAAATAAAACAGGCTGAACAAAGTATATCACCTAACATTGCTAACAACCACCCATACCTTATTATTATAATAAATAAAATGACTTAAAAAGTTTTAGTAGGAGTTTGACGCCGCTTGCAATACAAATAGGTCACAGGAGTGCCAAAGATTAGAGGTGTTACCACAGAGTAACATATATAAAGAAAAGGAGGAGATTTAAGGACAAAAATTATTTGATAGGAAAGAAGGAGCAAAACACACTAGAGCACCCGCCAACCAACCACATAAAATGACTTGCCCTTATCCAGGATGAGCAAAAGCAATGAATGTGGTGACAACAAAACACCAAAGCAAAAATTACGACGACAAAACAGCAAAAACAAGAGACAGACTGTGAGCACCTGAACTTTTACCAACAACAACAGGTGGTCATACTTTTTTAAGACAGAAGAAAAGAAAGAACAAGACGAGAAAAAAGGATAGAAAGAAGGAAGAGATGATACAGCAAAGTGAACATCTTCCGGATAAGTAATATTCGACCATAGCTGTTGATGGAGAGGATTCGTCCCTCAGAGGGGTTGAATCTCTGGTTAGTTTGTAGTGGGTTTATAATTATAGAAACAATTAACAACTGCTACATCAAGTGATTTTGTGGCTGCTTAAAGCTTGGACTTGTTAGCCATGTACTTTTTTTGCAAGCTTGCAAACGCTTTCAAAACCCAATCAGGGACACAAAATGTTTTAACATTAGTTTACATACAAAATAATATTACATGAAATGGGACTGGTTTGGCGTGGTGGGCTAAAATGCGAATCAGGAACTGTCTCCGAGAAATTCGGGACAGCCGACAGGTTTGTTTTTGTGCTTAATGTTGCCACTATCCTTAACCCCCCCCAACTCCCCACACACCCCACCCCCAAACCATCGTCCGGTCCACCATACCTGCAGAAGGTCATGCTTGTGACTGATCACCATCACTTGCTCCTCACAGACGCTGTCCGAGTTGACCCGCAGACCGCGGGCAAACGCCATCTGTCGCACACACCTGCGCTCATCCGCTGCCCAGTCGGGGCCCATCACATACTCGGCCAGGGTCGGACGCTGGAAGAACTCAGACAGGTGTCGCGTCATCGCAGCTACCATACGCTTGCTCACCTGCAGTAGACCAAAAAATCAGGAATAATTCTCGTTTCTCCAGCAAGCTGCTACTAGCGGCCTCTAGTCAGAACCGCTGTGCCGGTGAGCCGTCAGCTGCGTCTCGGGCACATTCCTTTACAATGACTTCGACGCCAAATTACTTTACGGCAATTGCAGAAAAAGGTCCCTCTTACCAGGACTTCATTCGTTAGAAAAAGAACTACCAAATAGGTTCACTTGTTTTGTTTTAATGACCAATTTAGTGGCATATGCCACTTTTAGATTTTGAACCAAAAGAAGGTCCCGGCATAGTGGGGTTACACAAATAGGTCAACTAAGTGCCAAAGATTAGGGGTGTTAGAAAGTAACATACAAAGAAAAGGAGAATAGATAAGGAGGACAGATGATTGATGTGAAAGAAGGAGCTGTTGTTATCGATCCAGAGGACAGTAGGAGCAAACTACACCACAGCACCCACCTACCACCCACATGAGTACTTGACAAAATGGGTTATTTTGACGGAGAGTAACAATACTGGGTTTTTAGACCTTTGCTAAACAGGAGCTTTGCTAGACAAACAGACACAATCATAAAACCAACTGACTTGTAGCCCAGCCCCGTCCAAAAGCTCAGATGTTGTTGTAGCCTTGATGTCATCCTCGGTCAGCGAGTTGGCGAATGTTGTCAGCTGTTCCCTGGTCACCCACACTTTAGAGTAGTCAGCCCGAGAACACTGCATAAAGCACACAAATAAACATACAACATTCAAATATTACATGCGATGTAGAATCGTCGTGCTCAGGGAGTTTGATCACAAGCATTTTCGGAGGGTGGCGTTATTCAAATGAAAACCCGTCGACAAATGACCAAATATTTTTTACCATAAAAGAGGGGAGATGACCCTCCTTATATTAATAGTTAGAGAAATGATAAAGCAATAAAAGAAGCTTAAGAAAAACAAAGTAAAAACTGGTATCACCAGAAATTTTTAATTTTCAAAAAGCCAACAATTTTCGAATAAGACTCAACAGAAAGGACAATCTTTTCCCTACACACTGATATGAAATCTGTGCTTCAACATGATTGACAACAATGACAACAAAATACCCACTCAAATCAGATTAAGAGCAACAACAACAACATTACCCCCCCACTAGAACAAACAAGCACCCGCCAACCACCCACAACAACAACCTAACAAAGCACTCACTCCCAAAATTTTGACAACAACACCACCACCACCACCAAAGTAATGGTAGCAACTCCTGCAAATATCAACAACAACCAAACCTACCGCTATGACCGGCTGGCTCTCGTAGAGCGAGAACAGAACCTTGGCCGAGGCCATGGTACAGGCCACACGCCGCGTCTTGCCTAGACAGTTGGACAGCTCCTGGCCTTGGAGCTTCATGCTGCACCTGGGCAACACACGACAAAAACACACACCGCTTACATATTTTTCATAGTTTTACTTAATTTTTATGATTGATTTTGAGCAAAGTGAAGCATATTGACACAATAACGTTCAGTGACTTTTAGTTAAGTTTTAATAAATAAGAGTTTTACTGCACTTGCAACACAATAAGGTCATACAAGTGCCAAGGATTAGGGGTTACAAGAAAGTAACAAACACAAACAAGGAAGGGAGATAAGGACAATAGTTGTTGATAGGAAAGAAAGAGAAAACCACACCAGAGCACCCGCCAACCACCCCCTGGTCATTGAGTGCTGGAAAAGAGTAAGACAGACAGACAGAAATAACAGAGGGAAAGTAAAGATGTAGGACCTACCACCCCCACTAACTTACTCTTTTTTTATCTTCTGTTGCTGTTGAGCATCGAGGGTAGATACAGATACAGAGGGAGGAGGAGAAAGAGAAGGAAATGAAGAGGAGAAGATGAGAAAGAGGTAAAGGAACAAGAAAGAGAAGAATAAAAAGAATAAGGAAATGAAAAAGAGGGAACAACAACAGCAACAACGACAACTCACTTGAAGACGGGCCCCTCTGGCTCAGTGACCCACTCCAACAGTTGACCACAGTGAGCGGCGCTCTGACTCAGGATGCAGTGCGCGTGCTTGAGCCGGTCAGTGGCCCAGTCCTCATGCTCCAGGATGACCATCTCCGACACGCGGCGCTTCTCCTCTGGGGGCTGCTTCAGCCTCTTCATACGCAGCACATTAGACTCATACACACGACTGAAACCTGAGGGAGGGTTTGTTTGTTTGAGTAAAGAGAAGCACATCGACGCAATAATGGTCACTTAGTGCTGGGAAAAGGTCAGACAAACAGAAACGACAGTAAAGAAATACGACCTACCACCCGCAAACCTGGGGGGGGGGGGGAACAAGAATGGATAGGTGTGTGTTTCATGAACCATATTCAATTTTAAGAAATAAAACATATCAACACAATAAAGGTCTGCCTAGAAAATTATTTTACAAATACTAATTAAAAATCCCAGTGGGTGGTTTCTACAGATTTTTAAAGGTATACAGGTGGGACAATCAGTGGTGCGGCGCCATAGGTTCAATTGGTGCAAGCGCTCCACCTAACCCTGGCCTTCATCCCCCTTTTCTAATTGTTCTAAACCAGTCAGTGCTCTAGATCTACATTAGGCCTACTACATCCTTGCGATCCGTAACCTGCTGGCTGTGCCTGTGAAGAGACAGACAGCGAGGATGGTTTATGCGCGTGGCAACGCTTGCGTTAGTGTCTGCTCATGATACACCAACTCACCCACAAAGGTCTCTGTTGATGTCTCTTTCTTCTAGCCATGACCACTTGAATTTATTTTTCACACTGGCCTCAATGCTACTCAGATCAAAGAGCCTTGATATATTTACAGACCTGCCACTCTATGAAATCTAAAAATCAGGATTTATGAGTAAAAAAATCAGGATCTGGTGAAAAAAATAGGGATCAACGGCAAATCAGTCATAAAGGGCACTGGGGAAGGCAGGGGGGGAGTGTCCTGGTTCCCTTGAGGCGAGTACGCAAGGCAAAACTTTTGCAGGAATAAGTTCACGTTTGGGCCTCTAAATACAGTCAAACCTGCCCTGACGGCCACCTCTATAAGACGGTCACCTGTACAGACGGCCACTTTCCATTTCCCCCCTTGCGTTTTTTCTATATAATTTAACTGTGTAAAACGGGCACCTGTCCAACGCGGCCGCGGCCACCATATTTTAACACACAACCCCTATCACGCAAAGCAATAACACCTGTCTTAGACGGCCACCTTAGTGACTCCATTACGTTTCGTCATGAATTGTGCACTGGCCCCTGGCGTTGTGGGAGTGTCGTCATAATTCAATCACCCGTCGCTGTTACTTTGTTGTGGTAGTCCCTCCAACCGATCATGTTGCATAGGCCCCTCCCACTGTTGACCAATAGCTACCAATATTCAGCTGCTGGTGAGGTCAGCGTGTGATCCCTCATAAACCATAGCCCCTCCCATAACTCATACACAAATCGTAAGTGAGATGAGTGGTCACTGTTTACCCAGTCTGTAACAAAGTAACAAAGGACGTCAACATGAACTTGTGACAGAAGCGTCGCTCGTTTTCCGAGTGGTGGCGACCCATGTGTTTGTTTTAACATGGCACTCGGTCTTATCGTCTGATACATTTCGTTTTATTGTCACCCTTGAGCAAAATCAGCAACAAAATAAAATTAACAAACGAAATACAACCCAATTACAACAACAAACACAACAACAACAAAAACATCAACAATGCAGCTACTTTCGATTGGGACCTCAGATGGGAATAGTTTGTTTTCTTCATCTTGACCAGTCCTGCCTAAGACGGCCACCTGTCTTATACGGCCACTTTTCTCCTTGACAATGGGTGTCCGTCTTACACAGGTTTGACTGTAGTGGGAAAACTGAAAGACAGCATAATATATGTACTCGAGTCGAAGTTGGATAGACTGGGGGAGCGAAGATCGCAGTGATGCTGAAACACTTGTAGTCTTGAAAATAGCTGACACGTAACTCTCCACGCAAAACGCCCGCGTTTTAACAACGTTTGACTTCCCTCATATCGAAAAAAAGATCGCGCCAAGGTTGTTCATTTTAAAAAAAAATTCCTTTCCTCTTAATTAGTACCTGTATTACGGCACGCACTTTAAGCCCAAGTGTCAAAACAATACCCCCAGCCCCTTCCCCCGGCCGTCCACACTGGTTAAGTCCCAAAAACACCTCGACCAACGCGACCGGTGTGAAAGAACTTTGTTGACCCCGACAACCGACGGTCCCCGACACACGCGTTACTCACCACACGTACGAGGTCATGTCATGTGATGCGAATGAGCGTTTGAAACTAGGTCGATTTTAGTTTAAATAACGTGCGTTAGTCATCTACTAGACCTAGATTCGGCATAGATGCTTTAGAAAATAGCGTTCCAAGTTCCTGCAGATAAAAAGTCCAATCGGTGCTTCCAAGCAAAAGAGATTGCAAAACTTTTTACATTTTTTTCTAAGAATCGAACGCAACAGGTGCAACGACAAAAATTCAGGATACTGGCGATCGAAATCGGGAAAATCGGGATGGTTGAGATTTGGGGCAAAAAATCGGGATATCCCGATTAAATCGGGATGAGTGGCAGGTCTGTATTTAGATCTACCTCCAAATCTACACACTTATAAAGTCACAACATCAATCAGTCACAATGAAACACACGAATAGATCTAATCAAAAACCTTTTCCGGCAGAAACTGTGAAACAGCACTTGTCAAAAATGAAAACCTTTAACGGAAGAAAGAAAAGCAAAATTTTGAAAGAGCACCTACAAAAATCTAAATTTTTCCTTACGCCAAACAGCACACTACCGACCAGATGAACGAACATTTCGAATAATGGCTCGCATTTCGCATGAACATTTTTGCTGGCAAGAGACATTTTGTCAGAAACGTCCAGCAGGGTGGTGAAGTTTTAGCTGGGGTCCAAATTGCCAGAACACCGACAGGTCTGCCAGGGCCTTCAAGTCGTCCTCACAAGCCGCGGGCAGCGTGTTGAGGACAGCCTCACCCATGGTTCCTCTCAAGGACTCTAGCCGCCTCCATGTACGCACATCTCACTCACTCACTCATTCCCTTTCTCTCACACTCACTCACACAAACACATATGCACATACACACAGATAGTACATAATATTAAAGTCTCTACCCTTGTAGACAACATCCAGGATATCCGGGGCCTTCAAATCGTCCTCACAGGCTGCAGGAAGCATGTTGAGAATAGCCTCACCCGTGGTCCCTCTCAGGACTTGAGCCGCCTCCCTGTACGCACATGTTTGGGCCAGCTTACGCGACGGACCGCGGCCCTGGCCGATGAACCGGTCACATATGTAGACGTCACAGGTGACATGGCAGTCGGAACCCTCAGAAACCTGTGGTGAGGAGGGAGAGAGTATTCCGTACATGTTTAGTATGGGGTTTTACGGCGCTCGCAACTGCATAAGGTCATATGAACGCGCGAAGCAAATTGGTTTTTTCTCAACGTTTCATTTTCTCGGCTTGATACTGGTCAATATTTCTATTTAAAAATTTTTAATACGCTAAAAATCGAGTGTAAACGGGCTTTAGCTTTAGATTTAAATTTAAAACAACTTTCTAAATAGCGCTGAAAAATTTTCCAACAATCTGTTTCATAACTTTCCATAAAGGCCAATGGCCTTTATAAAATCTAAAATTCGGTTGGGAACAACGACGGAAAAAATATCTTGTAATTTTGTGCTTTTAAAGTATTTCCTTCGGGTCTCTCCGAAGTCTAGACATTCGGTTAAAATGTGTCTTTTGGTAAAATCTGTGTTGCATCCGACACAGAACGGTTTATCTCCTTGAAGGAGGTATTTGAGTGTTAGGGCCGTGTGTCCAATGCGTAATCAAGTAAAAATGACTTCGTCTCTTCTGGAGAGGTCCGAAGGATTTCGCGGTCCCAGTTTGGGTTTAATATTGTGGAGTTTGTTACCCGTCTGTTTTTTCTAGTGGCTCTCCCACAGACTGGATGTGTACTTTTTGACTTTATTTTTAAAGTCAGTCTGTGAGAGAGTGTTCGTTGCTGATCCCAACAGAAGGGATAAGGATTTCTTAGCCAGGTCATCTACCTGCTCGTTTCCTCGGATGCCCACATGGCTAGGTATCCATGCGAACAAGAGATTTTTCCTTGTTTCAGTTAAGGTGTGTATTTTCTGTTGTAGCCTCACTATATTTGGGTGGAGGAGTGTGTAGTTTGTGAGCAAGGTGATGCAAGACATACAAAGGATAAGGAATGATTTGTTAGGAGAATTTTCTACGGAGTCCAGTGCCATGTCAATTGCCCACATCATTGTCTTTTTTGGAGCCATCTGTGAAGACGAGCTCCGCACCGGGGTATTTTTCTATAAGTTTTTTGTATTCTGCTTTAAATGTTTTGGTGTATGTGCTAGCTTTGTCGTGTGTGGTCAGCTGTAAGTCTACTTTTGCCTTGGTGAGATGCCACGGAGGGAGGTCGGGGAAAAGAAATTTTTGGATGTGTTGTTTGGAAAAGTGTATGTTTTTGAGGGCCTCAAGGACTCTGAGGCCGGAGGGTTTGATGAGTCTTTCGTTGTTTTGGAATTTGTTTATGGTTTCTGGGTTTGTTTTAAAAATGCAGTTGTGCGCTGGATTCTCTGGTGTTGAGCTCTGCTTAATTGCGTATTGTAGTGAGAGTTGTGTGCGTCTCAGTGTTAGTGATGGAAGGTTTGCCTCGGCCTGGAGCCTCTCCACCGGGGAAGTGCGGAAAGCCCCCAGAGCGAGGCGGAGTCCTTGGTTTTGCACTGGGTCTAGCATTTTTAGGATGTGTGGTTTTGCCGATCCGTAGACCTGACAGCCATAGCCTGGATCGGACAAGGGATATGTACAAGTGGAGAAGGTGTTTTGAGTCCCCGCCCCACTCCGGATGCGAGAGAATTTTCAAAGCGTTTTACGCTTTCTGGCACCTCAAACAAAAGTCTTTGATGTGTAGTATGAATGTGAGTTTTTTGTCCAATGTAACGCCGAAGAAACGAGCCTGGTCCTGGACGGGAATCCTTTCCCCGTATAGTGTCAAATCCAGCTGCAGTACACGTCTGCCTGTTTGGCAGAAGTGTACTGCAACCATCTTTGACAGGGAAAACTTGAAACCGTTATTGTTTTCCCGTACATGAGAGAGAGGGAGGGAGAGAGGGAGGGAGGGAGACAGCCAGTGATCAAGCGCGTGTCTATGTGTGTGCATGTGTGTCCATGAGAGAGAAAGAGAGCGATAGAGAGAGCGAGAGAAAAGGGGTGAAAAGCGAGCGAGAGAGAGAGAAAGAGGGGGGGGGGGAGGAAGGGAGAGAAAGAGAGAGAAAGCGAAACAAAGAGAGAGAGAGAGAGAGAGAGAGAGAGAGAGAGAGAGAGAGAGAGAGAGAGAGAGAGAGAGAGAGAGAGAGCAAAAGAGAGAGAAAGAGGGAGAGAGAAAGCAAAAAGAGAGAGGGGGGGAGGGAGAGAGAGAGAGAGAGAGAGAGAGAGAGATTATTTTGATTAAGGTCTCTGAGGTGAGTCCCAGTTTAACAAGCTGTTTTTGTTTTTGTAAGTGTTTTACGGCGCTCGCAACTGCATAAGGTCATAAGAGCGCTTGGGACACATTCAACGTTTTCAGTTGGAAGGAAATTTTGAATTTTGCCCAGGTGGCGGCCGAAGCCTACTCTTATTGATTTTAGACCACCACGGGATCTTTAACATGCGCAACTTGTACACGTGCCCTCCAAGAATTTTTCGCCCTTGTCCGAGAAGGCTAGGTGTAAATTTTTCCTACCAAAAGATCAGGGATGTGGCTGAAAGACAGCGGTAAGAAGAAGCCAAGGAGAAGCAGTAGAAAGGCTGCAGAAAGAATCAGGAGCCCAGAGGAGGGGGCAAAGGAGGAGAGGACCCCCCAAGGCAGTGCTACTGACTGAAGTGTCTTAAGGCCATTCCCATTAACATCTTAAGTTCTTATGCACAGTAGAATTGTAATTGTAAATGGGCTGATTCATCGATGTCATGCTCATAACTGTGCCTGAACTGCAACAGGGAACTGCTGGTTTTTCCTTCCTAATCCTTACTATCGTTGACATCCACCCCTTGGCGCTCATATGACCTTATGCAGTTGCGAGCGCCGTAAAACCTCTACTAAAACCCAAAAAAAGAGGTGAGGGGGTGGGGGCAGAAAGAGGAGACGAAAGCAGATGACAGAACATTGCTAGAGAGCAGGATATGAGGTGAAAGGAGACAAATTTAGAGAAGAAAATTTTTCCGTCGCTACTTGGATTCGAACCCGAGACCTTTGAGAGGCCAACACCTTAACCTCTAGGCCAAGAGAGTCCCCTATAGTTTAAGAAGCTGCAAGATTTGGTTCTTGTTATGTTAGACCAACATTTCATTACAATAATAAATAAATGAATAAACAGAATTTGCATAGCGCAAATCCCCACTCAACAGTAAGCTCTCTGCGTTTTATAGAATCTCGATTATTACCCTTGCAGACCCTAAAACACTCAAAAACATTCTCGACTTCCCAGGAAGCGCAAAGTGCAAGCAGCTGATTAAGCCCTCAAACATGAACAAACTGACAAGATCTTTCGCTGCCTAGAATTGGGTACCTATTCCCACCTGGGTGAAGTGAGGAAGTTTTGTTTTAAGTGCCTTTTCCGAGGGCATAACATCAGGCCTCGGATGGGGTTCTAAAACCATGACCTTGGTTGCAAGCCCTACACTGCATACTTACATCCGCTGACAAAATACCTTTGTTTTATTCACAGTAGTTTTGAGAAAAATAGCACTTTGTCAGCGAAACCATTAAAGAAAAGGAATTCTTCTGAAATTTGAATTCTAATTTATTCAAAAACTGGTCACAGTTTCACTTTGATGCTCACTGCGTCACTTTTCGCCCGATTCTGTTACTTTTAGTCAGCGTGACTCAGCAGCCGCCGGAGCTCCTCGGCTCAGGGTCACAGGGTTAATGAGCCTTGAAGCGAATTTGCCGGTGTCAGTTAAGAAGTTCGCATTTTTGTCTGCGTTTGAAACGATATAACTTCTTCCCCATTCCTCACATCAAACCATTACGCACATGTTCTAAAAGCTCAATGTCTTGAGATTTATTCTGCGTCAGAATGGTTAATTTCTGTGCCTTAGTCTTTGTTCTAGACAAGTGTTTGTAGAGTACCCAATATGTCCTATTTTAGTTACATACTTATGAATAAATCATTGTTTATATTAAAAAAACATGACAGATCTCTCCAAAATCTGTGTTAAACTGACTACGAATATTATGTCTTTTACCAATAGAAATCTTAAATCTGCGCGAGTAGTAATAGTCAAGTTATAAGAGAAGAAAGATGCACATCTGCATTTTTTAACAAAAGACACTCAGCGTTAGCTCTTGTTCTACCATTAAACAAGAGAAAGTTACTCTGCGTTTGTTCATGAATCATGCTGTGTCTGTGGCAGCCTGCATACAACTAAGAAAGATATATTAGATTTTCTTTAAAAACAAAACTGTGTTAATACATGGGCAGAGATGAACGTCTTGCATGGAATAAAAATAATGACAGCTAATATTCATTCTTAGTTTTTGCAGGGCTGCCTACCTCAAAGTTCCCATTTCAGGTAGATCCAGGGTCAGTTTCAGGTAGTTTGGCCCAAAATCAGGTAGTACAAAGACAAAGAGGGAAAAAAAAGATGATCGTTGCCCCATAGACCGCGCTTGCTTTCCGTGATATTGGGTAATTATATTTTGAAAACTTGTTTGTGCATGCACACGTGTGTGTGTGTGTGTGTGTGTGTGTGTGTGTGTGTGTGTGTGTGTGTGTGCATGCTCTCGTGGGTGTTTATATATGTGGGGAGGGGAAGGGGGTGTTTGGGTGTGCAAGAGTTACGATGAACAATGTGTATGTAATGAGGCGAGGTTGTTTGTTTTTTTAAAATCATTTTATGGACTATCGTTCAAGGCACCTATCATTCAGTATTGAATCTGGAATTAAGTGCAGGGTGATTGCCAAACTAACTTCAAAACTCCTAGCCCATACCAATAGAAACTATATTAAACATATTTCCCAACACTAGCATAGGACACTGATTAAGTCCTTGGAGACTTAGGTATGACAGACAATTGATTTTAACTAGTTTTACCCTAAATATACAAAATGAATCCTGATCTTGCCCTGAGGAGAGGCAAGAAGAACATCAACTGCCAAAACTATGTTTGGTTTCAGTAATAACGGATTTTAAACAGCATGCAAGACAAAACTTATTTATAAAACCTTTATAGTTAGGCTTACGGCAGAGTAAAAAGTGAAAATAAAAGAAAGCGTGTACTGAGAGCCGGAGCTGGAAGCACTGAGAGAGCGTGGGATGTAGTGATGCTGAAAACCTGGCAATCAGTGAATCACTGCATCATGGACTAAGTATTGATTTTTTTTCAAAATGCTAAATCACAGTACCAGTCTTTAATCAGCAACAAGCCATCATGATGCATAGCATCCAACATAGAGCTTTTCGAGGGTTGAAAATGGCATTTCCTCATTGCCACTATTCGATTTGTCATCACCAACAAATCTGGGAACACCAACCTTGAAGATACAATCACCAAGCCTGTACTCTAATGTTCTCTCATTTACGCACTCGATTGTCGAATGTCAAAACGACTTCCACTTATCGTTTTTATTTCAGCATCAGTTTCTTGTACCGCTGCCTTATCCTGTTGCCGTAGATTTTATTGCGTCTAACACCTCCCCTCAATTCCGAAGCCCTGCAGCAACGCTCCTACATATACTTTGAAGGAACTTTGATTACCCAATAACCACCGGCCAGTCCCTTACTCATGCCGTACTGCTAACACGATGCCAACGCGCACAGGTTCACTGACTGGTCACGATGACGGGCCCGACAATCCAGAAATTGGAGGACACTTGTTTTCTTTTTCTTTCTTTTATGTCATTATACTGACATCAGTGAGAATATAGAATTAATTTGCACAAACTGCATGTTACAAATTTTTATTAACTGTAAATCTAATGTTAACAAACTATCATCGGACAATTCTGGGCGGTAACAAAAGCGAAAGTAGATTTTTATTTTCCCGATGGAGTCTCCGTATTACACCAACACTTCCGTTTGCTGCCATAGCCGCTAATTCGCATTAAACGTACTCTCGGACTGGGGAAAGCCGACGTAATATCACAAACGCAACCGGTAACATATGAACTCAGATTTCGTTTCGAGGACTCCGCGCATTTTCTCGGGTCTCAGCTATTTTTTTTCCTCAGATTCCCGCAGTCCCCCTGCGTAGAATCCTCATTTGGTACTGACCTATTCTCTAGACCAAGATCTGTTTTGCTTCGATATCGATTTTCTTTCTACATTCATAATTCTGTTTTCTAGATAAATGAATTAAATGCACAGATTTTCCAGCCGCAGCAAAAACCCGAAAATGGACAGAAAGAAAGAATGAATGAAAGGAAGGAGGAAGATTATCTATCGTGAGTAGACAAATTTTAGCCGATATGCATGTGAAAAACTATTGCGAACCGAACAGCACAGATAGACAATGGTCGAGTGTTCGAAATGCGCAATCTGGCAGTTTCTAATACAACTTATTACCAGAAGTTGCCGTAAATATCTGACAAGTTACGGAGGCAAGTGCTGATCTCTCTCTCTCTCTTTCTTTTTTTTTTAAACACATTGAGGTGACATGATGATGTGGCAAGTAGCCTACAGAACTTTCGGAATGTACGGATTTCCGCAAAAACAAAGAAGAATGGGAGCACTGCAGAATGGGTTCTTTTTCTTCTTTCAGCACCCATCGCAAATCCGGTAGTTTTGACACCTTATCGGTATGGCGGTAGAACAAGCCCAAAATCGGCATCTACCGGAAAAATCGGTTGATTTAGGCAGCCCTGTTTTTGTGTCAGACATATGCGTGGACACTTATGAACCTAAAGAAATCAGAACATTGTCAGTTATTGCAAATGGTTATAGAAACGAAAATAAAAGCTTGAAAAGCCTGGTGCTGATTCAGTGTCACTGGAAAGCTAGAAATTATTCTTATAATACAATCACGAGAAGTCATCCCTGTTATTCAGTCAACTTACAAAACCTAGATCTAGCGTTTTGAGAAAAATAAGAAATAATTTATAGAGAGTAACTAATAGCCTACTGTTCATGTATTAGTGATTACATTGTCGTAGATGTATTCTGGCACTAAAATCGGTTTGCACTTTTTCAGAGAGACATCAGGGTAATTTTGATAAACTTTACGGAAAATATGCGAATATTCCCGATTATATTAGACACATAAAGTTGTATTTGGAGGAATTACTTCATAGCGAATTGTGTGCCAGATGGATAAAGTTGCAAAATTACAGCTTCCTATTATATACGCAGATACCAGCTTTTCTGAGTATGCGCACCAATGGTATGTTGTTCATGTTCCGAAAGTGCAACAGTTTTTGTTGTGCTCTTTTTAAATATTGATTATTTTTCATTCACACTTGTTGTACAAAAAATTTTACAATTTAGCATTGCCGACTTCCGAGCGTATAACGAAATAAACAGACAAGTTACAACATCCGTTGTTTTTGGGTCTCAAGAGCAGAAATGCGTGCTTTGGGTGCATTAAATGATAATTACCTTAAATACGAGGATACACCTAAAACTGTACGTTGAAAAGTACCAAAAACTGTCAGCCCAAACAGAGCGGCAACAGGGAGCTGACCCCTGTGACCCCGATATTGATAAGGCTACAACTAAAATTCCACTGCCCGTGCGCCATGTGCTACATCATCAGCAGACCTACCTTCCTGTAGACTGCCATTAGTTTCAGTTTGAGTTGTAGACAGATCTTGTCAATGGTCATCACCATGTTGTTGCCGGTCACCTCTGTCATCACCTGTCGGACATTAGGCATTTTCTCCTGACCGCCTGTCAGTTCCTCTGACTTGCCACCTTGACCACTGGTCACTCCTTCCTCCTGAGTCTCGTCAGTGCTAGGGTTTCTGGAGGCATCATCCTTAGCAGTGGATTGTTTTGACGACCCTTGCTTCTGGTCGCCTCCTGACTCTCCAGATGCGCAATCTTTCCCAGTGTTTGATTTTTTTGTGCGAGTCTCCGACTCGGTGCACAGTTTGGCAATCAGAGTGTCCAGCAACTCTACCTTGTCCTCCTCTTTGGGCTGTCGAGAGAACAAGACAACATTTAGAATTGTTATATAATGGTAATAAATAACCAGCATTTGTATAGCGCATGTCCCCACTGAACATCAAGCTCAATGCGCTTTATAATCTATATTATAACCTCAGCAGACCCTAAAACAATCAGAAACATTTTCGGCTTTTTAAAACTGGTACAGACACCAAAATGCCAGTGAGGAGAGGTGGAACAAACTGTGAAACACATCCTTCATCACTGCAAGACACACAGGGCACTGAGACAGGAAATGTGGCCAACCCCATTGACACTACAAGAGAAGCTTTACAGGCTGACAGATGAGCTGAGCAGGATGGCCCATTATATGATAGATACCAGACTCCAAGTGAGTTGCGATCGAGAAGAAAGTGCGATAGAGAAGAATTGGAACCTACCATCTACACCCGCCAAACACCTGCAACATTCAAAGAAGAGGCTGTTTCAGACATTTACATGCCAAACAGGTATCAAAAAGACCTAAATATGCTTGTTCAATAAAAACAGAAGCGGACAGCAACAAAGTATGGTCATCCCATCCCCAGAGAGAGTATGACTTACCAAGTACAGGCCAATCCTTTCCTTTTCGCACTGTTCACCAGTCTCCCCTGGCCCATCTGCACTCTCTGGAGGGTTGACATGCTACACAGAAACAAAATAAAAAATCAAATTAAATTAAAAACAATATTTTCTGTGCATTTTGGGTTGCACTTAGGTTGCTGTCACGTTCATTACCATAGTTAACATCGATAGGACTGTGCCAGTTTCAGAAAGCAGTGAAAAACTGATTCCCAGAAAATAAATCCCTAAAGGAAATTCAACTTGCAAGCTCTCTATAAAATGATGAGGGTCTTTTACCAACTTCGTGACTCTTGACCCACACTGTACTTGTTGACTCTCCGTCCTTCCAGATTTCCGGGACATGTTCATTCGTTTCTTTGTTTGTCTGGATTAAAAAGAAACAAATCATGATACCTGCTACAGTCAAGCCTGCGTAAACTAGCCCCGAAAAGTATGCTAAACAAGAAGAAAAGGGAGGTAGGACATTTACAAGTCACCCTGGTCGGTACACCGTGGAGCTGACAGCTCACCTCAGCCATAATCTGCTCCACAGTTTTGTTCCGTAAAGTATCTAGTGCTTTCTGGCAGGCGTGCAGCTTGGCTTCCTTCTTGCCCACCCCAATGGCCGACGTAAAAGGCTTCTCCTCCACGTAGAGACGAACACGGGTGTACATGTGGAAACCTGAGACAGAGAAAAATTTGTTTGTTTAGGATGTTGAGTGAAGAGAAGCACATCTAATAAAACTATAATAGTAAGTTTTGAGAAACAGCAGGACACAAATACAGAAATAACTGAGGAAGAGGAAAGAAGACTTGCTAACTTTCTCAAAACCCAATCCGGGACACGGAAGGTTATAATGATAACATCCGACTATATAAGGACGAACACAATTATATCAATTAGGACTCTTTTTGGTGAAATGTATATGTGATAACGTTCTCAAATTCCTGATTGCTGAATCTAGGACATTGCCGGGAACTTAGAGATGCTTGATAAGGTGGAGTTAAGACATGGGACTTGCCAGTCAAACCGTTCATCCACTTGCATCAGAATAACACAGCAGCACACGAAAACCACATGATGTCATTTCGTCCCAAGAAACACCCATATAGGTAAAAATAAAGTAGGATCTACAAGGGGTCCCCTCCAAATAGTCACTGCAAAATAAAATCAAGACAGATCTTGTTTCAAGTTGACAAATTTTCTTACAAAATCTCCCCCCCCCCCTCCTCCCTTTCCCCTCCATTTTCAAACAGCATAAGGCACCCCCTCACCCTTCTCACTCACTCACCTTTCGTGGGGTCTCGCGGCCTAGAGGTTAAGGTGTTCGCCTCTCATTCAAAGGTCCCAGGTTCGAATCCAGGTAGCGACCGAAAAAAATTTCCCTCTAAAATCGTCTCCTTTCACCTTCTTTCCTTCTCTCTTGCAATTTTCGGTCATCTCCTTTCGTCTCCACATTCTGCCCCTACTCCCGCACCTGGGTTCCTGACTATTTCTGCAGCCTTTCTACTGCTACTCCTTGGCTCCTTCTTACTGCTGTCTTTCAGCCACACCCCTGATCTTCTGGTAGGAAAGATCTACACCTAGCCTTCTCGAGAAGGACGAAAAATCTCAGCGGTCCCATGTGCAAGCTGCGCACGTTTAAGATCCCTTGGTGGTAAAAAATCGATAAGTGCAGGCTTCGGCCGCCACCCAGGCAAAATTCAAAATTTCCTACCAACTGAAAATGTTTGGTGTGTCCCACGTGCTCATATGGCCTTATGCAGTAGCAAGCACTGTAAAACACTTACCAAAAAAACTTACCTTTCTCTGTGGTAATTGGCTCCACCTGATACTTGTGCCGTAGGCCGCATCGAGACTCAATGAAAGCCTGTGGACGGTTGTACACACAACAATTTTGAGTACAAAAGAAGCCCATCACTCAATAAGTCATTTAGTATGGCGAAAGACAGAAAGATAAATGGCAACCAGACTGTAAAGAAGCAGGACCCAGGAGTGGCTCCCCATAAACACCTACATATTTGTCAAAAATTTTTTACAATTTAGCATTGCTGACTTCAGCGCATCTAGCGAAATAACCAGACAAGTTACAATGTCAATTTTTTGTGTGTCTCAAGAGCAGAAATTTGGGCTTTGGGTGCATTAAATGATAATTACCATAAACACAAGGATACACCTGAAATGTACATTGAAAAGTACCAAAAATTAAGTCAGCCCAGAGAGGGTGATGACAGGGAGCTGACCCCGTGACCCCGATGTGATAAGTGCTCAGCCACTGTAACTAAAATTCCACTGCTGGTGCACCGTGAGGTGATTGTCTTGGACAGGTGGCCATTAGAGCAAGTTTGACTGTGCATAACTGGCAAGAGAAACTGGTTCATTAGCCCCTCATCAGGGGTGGCTCGTGAGGCTAAAAGTGGGCGTGCACAATAAGCTATCGCAGGTTGAAGATAGTCAAGGACGTAGTTGAGGGGCTGGTGTATACTTTTACGATCTTTGGATTGGTGAAGGAGGACCTTATCCTTTTATTTATATTTTTTTGACTTGTCACTTTGATTTCTAAAATCAAGTCTGTTCGCTAGCTAAACATCAATTTCGTTCATCCTGCATTGGAACTGAACACTCAATTAGTAACTTTCACCACTCCACTACAAAAGCATTCAAAGGCACAACTCATAGGACGGGGACTTAAGTATGTCACGTTCACATCCCTAGGTTCACTTAATATAGTGGCAAGACAATTAACCAATCACAATTCACCTCTAGTTTTAGACTGCCTTCAGTGGGCTATGTTTCGTGGGTGCACATTAGAGATGTGCCGTCTTATTAACATTAATGTACAGCCAACTCGCTACCAGTGTCGTCATCCCTTGGGTTAGCCCAAAGAGTGATTTATAGGTCAGGTTACCACTGTTGAATATCCTATTATGTTTAGTTAAAGAGTGTGGATTTTGGCATGACACGGTAGACGTTTTTATAGATACAGAAATAACAGTTTCGGCGCCAGTGAGGACCTTGATTTCGATATATTTGGCCTGTGTTTGTTTCTGGCTTCTCTTATTTTATGTTTGTGGGAGCATTACTTATTAGAACATTAAAAAAATTTGGGGCGGCACTGCACTACCGCGCTCTATGGACGAACCGTACAATATGTGCCATGATATGGTAGAATCAGACACCTATCAGTTTAAGGCATATGGAGTTATTGGTATAATCTTACAGCCTGTTCATTTCCCTTGTTTTTGATGATAAAAAAACCCAAATATATCTATCTTGTAAGAAAGTCGAGATATTTGTAATAGAAGGAGGTGGAGGGTCGCCTGGTGTCCAAAATAAAATTAGCCAGAAAATGGCCGCCAAAGATTGTTGATTTACAAAGCTTGAATGCCCTTTGAACCTGCAAATTTACTTTTTTTTTGTGCCATTGACAAAACTTTTTTCCCAACACTCACTCAGATATGTATTTTTTAAAGGACGTATTACATGTTGAGCAAAAAGGAAAAAAAACTGATACTAATTGTCTAACAGGTAGAAAAATAATGTTTCCTTCAATGTTACTACTTTCAACTTTGATGGGCGTCTGATTTCACCAGACTACAACACACACCTCTCGTCAAAATTAACAACTGCCCACTCACCATGTCCAGGAACAAAACATTCTGCTTGTCCACCTCTGTCGAGCTTTTCACTTTGTCCATCAGCTTCTGGATTTTGCTGGACAGGTCTTCTGTCTTGAGCAACGGCTGCAAGGAAATAAACATCATGAAGTAAACTTGTGTTACTTATCTTTATTTGTCTTTCTTTACAAATCATTACTGTCTTCACCAAAAGTCTATTGCTGCGAGCACCACTGAAGTGGTAAGTCTTCATTCTACTGTGCTGTCAACTTTTCTCAGACAATCCAGAGACTAAAAATTAATGCTTCGCCTTTCTGTTGTTTACATCTCTTAATTTTAGTTTCAATAGAGTTTTTACAGCACTCGCAACTGCATAAAATCATATGAGCGCCAAGGGGTGGATGTCAACAGAGAAGTCCATACAGGAAATCAGGCTTACTCTGCTCACCTCTCTAGCTTCAACAGCACAAAGTCTGCTTTCGACTATCAAGGCACCCCGGAAATAGCGGGTCACAAGAGTGTGCATGTAGCAAACATACAAAAGAAGTAGAGGAAAAATGACTATAGTAAAGAATAGGAAAGAAAAAGCAGCAGTTCCCTGGTGCAGTTCAGGCACAGTTATGAGCATGACATTGATGAATCAGACCATTTACAATTCTGCTGTGTATAAGAACATGTTAATGTCCCCCCTTTGGGAATGGCCTAAAGACACTTCAGTCAGTAGCACTGCCCCGGGGTTTAATTTACATCTCTACATATTTCGTTCAAGAAAGGGTTCACTGACCTCGACCTTAGACCAGACGTTATATGACCTCATAGAACGCCCTTTGACCTCTATAGAATGCTCTGTGATCAGTAAAAGTAAACTATGGCCCCCAATTGTGAACTATATATTTTAGCTAAGCGTTTTACGGCACTTGCAACACAATTAGCTCATATAAGTGCTGAAGAATACAGGTGTTACAAGAGAATAACAAACAAAAAGATGGAGGAGCGAAACAGACAATAGATTTATGATAGGACAGAGGAGCAAACCACACAAGAGCACCCACCAACCACACTTTCACAGGAACAAGAAACAGCAGGCTGTGATCATCACACAGAGCGAAGACATTATGGCAGGGGGGGTGTGTGTAAATTCTTCGCTCACCCTGAGACCTACCTGGGGTTGAGAAGTGGCTGTGTTCTCAGACTTTTTGTCGGCTAGGAGGTTGTCGACCTCCCCCGTCCTCAGAGCCTTCACCGCCTTCTCATAGACCTGGTGCTTGAGCTGCCGTTTGGCCGCCGAGGTGCCTCGGGTCAGCAGCAGCTCGTTGAGGTGCAGAGTGCCCTTGTACAGGGGGGAGCTGGTCATTTCACTCACTTCTTCCTCCACCTCGTACTTTGTCTGAGGATTGGGGATATTTTAAAGTTTCAGCAAGTTTTACAGCACTGGCAATGCAATTAGGTGATATAGATCTAAGTGCCGGTGTTAAAAGAGAGTAACAAAAAAAAGGAGGCCTATCAAACAATCCAACAAAATAATTTTTTTTAACCTCGACTCAGGAAGCAGATGGACACTTTTTAGTTTTAGTAAGAGTTTTATGGCACTTGCAACACATTAAGTGCTGAAGATTAGAGGCGTTAAAAGAGAGTAAAAGACACACAAAAAAGAGGGAGAGATCAGGACGATATATGTTTGATAGGAAAGCAGGAGCAAACCACACCAGGGCACTCACCAACCATCCATGTGTGAGGATTAGTTTTCCAAAGTTTTAATAAGAGTTTTACTGCACTTGCAATACAATAAGGTGATGTAAGTGCCGAAGACTAGAGCTGTTAAAAAAAAATAGGAGAAGAGATCAGGGCGACAGATGTTAGATAGGAAAGCAGGAGCAAACAACATCAGAGCACCTACCAACTATCCATGTCTGAGGATCGTTTTTTTTATAAGTTTTACTGGCAACACAATAAGGAAATATAAGTGCAGAAGACTAGACGTGTTAAAAGAGAGTAAAAAAACACACCAAAAAAGGAGAGATCAAGATGATAAATGTTTGACAGCAAAGCAGGAAATAACCAAAAGTTTTTCAGCACTAGCAAAGCAAACAAAAAAAAAAGAGGAGGAGAGATAAGGACAACATATGTTTGATAGGAAAGCTTAAAGAAGGAGCAAACCACACCAGGGCACACACCAACCACCCATGGCGGAGGATTGTTTTTTTTAAGTTTTAGTCCGACTTATATTGTGCACCCTTTAAATGATTCTGAACCACCGCTAATATTTTCAAATTCAAAAGCTAAGTAGTTCGGGAGCTTTAGGCAACCAAAGTGACGAACTTTCACAAATCTAATCTATACAAATGCTCAGGTTCCAGCAGAGGCACATGTACAAATCAAGCAGTATCAAACCACTGTTGGGCCATGTACAAAAGACCCCCCAGAAAGGAAAGTCACTGGCATCTTGAAGAGACTATAACAGATCTTACCAAAGTCAAAGCAGATTGATTGATTGGGTAGATGTTTTACGGCACTATCGACACAATTTTGGGGCGCCAACAGGTTTCACCGCTACAAAATCAGACGTGATTTTAGTAAGAGTCTTTCGGAGCTCGCAACCGCACACGATCATATTATTTTCATTATGCTAAAAAGACGAACAAACATTTATAAAAATATTTTGGTAAATATGGAAAAGGCTTATTTACATTTGTATATACAATATAAATTTCAGTGTATGAATATATACACCGATAACGATAACTATATATTTTCATATTCTATTAAATAGTCCAATTTCTTTTATATAACTTAAAATTTTTCTTGGCTCTACGATGTCAAAAAGGGTCTTAATATCTTTACATTTAAAATATTTCTCACGAACATAATTAAATTAGACACATTCCGTTAGGATGTGCCGAACTGTGAAAACTGTGTTGCACGCCACGCAAAAAGGAGCTTCCTCTCCTTCGAGCAAATATTTGTGCGTGACGTGCGTGTGTCCTATCTTTAGTCGGGTTAAAATTACTTTTTCTCCTCGTAGGAGAGAGAGTGGTTTCCTGGGCGTAAGTTTCGGCTGAATGTAATGGAGTTTGTTGTGAATTTGTTGATTCCAAATTTGGGACCAGGAGGATGTGATGTGTTCTTTTACTTTCGGTTTCATGTCAGAGAAAGAGATTTTACTATCTTTGATTTCAGGTAGTTTTAGAGATTCTTTGGCAAATTGGTCAAATGCTTCGTTGCCATCAATGCGTACATGGCTTGGAAGCCAAGCTATTGTAATAGTTTTTCCACATTGATGTAGAAAATGCAGTTTAATAGTTTTAAAATTCTGTTGTCGGAGGTGTCAGAGCGCACTAAAGATTTCAGACAAGAGAGAGAGCCTGAAAGGATTAGGAAAGTAGACTTGGTTGATTGATCTATTATATTTAGGGCCATTTCAAGAGCTATTGCCTCAGCAGTGTAGACTGAAGCTTCTGGGTGGAGTTTCCTTAAGCTTAAGCTGTGTGGCGATGCAAGGGCACCAGCTCCTACTGAGGAGTCATTTTTGGATCCGTCTGTAAAAAGTTTCTCTGCTTCAGGGTACCTATTTATTAGCTGTTTGTATGAGTTTAAGTATGTAGTTTTGTCTGTAGACTTTTTGTTGTGTTTTTCAAGACTAGTATCTATGTTTGGTTTGGTTAAATGCCATGGAGGTATGCTGGACATGGCAAAGGGCTCGATTATGTCTTCAGAAAAATCTATGTCTTTGAGATCGTTCTGGATTCTTATTCCGAAAGGGCTTACTTTATTTCCTAAGGAGGATAGAGTTTTTAGATCTTCGGGAAGGCCAAAGACACATTTGTGGGCTGGGTTTTGGGGTACTGAGCTAAGTTTCAAAGCGTACTGCAAAGAGAGTTTTTTCCTTCTAAGTTCTAAAGATGGTTCATGCACTTCTGCCTGTAAACTTTCTCCAGGTGAAGTACGGAAAGCGCCTAGGGCAAGGCGAAGGCCTTGGTTCTGAACAGGGTCTAAAATTTTAAGGTAAGACTTTCTGGCTGATCCGTAAACAAGACTGGCATAGTCCAGCCTGGAACGGACAAGGGAACGGTAAAGTTGAAGAAGTATTTCAGTATCTCCTCCCCATTCAGGATTGGATAATACTTTTAAGGTGTTGAGAGCACTCTGAAACCTCGTCTTTAGGTCTTTCAAGTGTGGTAGGAAAGAAAGTTTATTGTCGAAGATTACGCCCAGGAAACGAGCTTGTTTTTTAACAGGAATTTTCTCTCCAAACAAATATAAATCTGGTTGTCGCACACACTTGTGCGACAGACAAAAATGTACCAAGTTTGTTTTTAATGTGGAAAATTTGAACCCGTGCCCGTTTGCCCAAGTTTCCAGTTTATGGAGTTGAAGCTGAAGCTGAAGCTGACGTTCAATGTGATCCATTTTGGATTTGGATTTATAGCAGATCAGGAAGTCGTCAATGTAAAGTGAGCAGTCAATATTGTTTTGAAGGGTTTTTGTGATGGAATTGATTTTGATTTCGAAAAGAATGGGCGATAAGATGCCTCCCTGGGGGACGCCTTCTTTTTGGGTGTGTAAATTTGATAGGGTTGAACCTACTTTTACTTGAAATGATCGATCTTTCAAAAAGTTTCGTATAAATTCGGGAAGATTTCCGCGTAAGCCCAAGTCACGCAGGTCTTTTACAATACCATGTTTCCATGTGGTGTCGAAGGCTTTTTCTAAGTCGAAAAAAATAGCCACAAGCTGCCCTTTTCGAATGAAAGCTTCCCGAATGAAAGTTTCAAGTCAGACGAGATGGTCAATAGTAGAGTGATTTTTGCGAAAACCGCATTGGAAATTGGATAAGGAGTTTGAGGTTTCGAGAAACCACTTTAGACATTTGTTAATAAGTTTTTCCATAAGTTTGCAGAAACAGTTTGTAAGGGCTATGGGACGGTAGTTTGATGGGTTAGAGTGATCTTTTCCTGGTTTTGGGATTGGTATAATAGTGGCAAGACGCCAACTGTTCGGAAATTGTTGAGAATGCCAGAGTTCATTGTAAATATCAAGGCGTAATAGGAGTGTTTCGTCTGGAAGACGTTTGATGATTTAGTTGTGTATTTGATCAGGGCCTGGAGCTGTGTTTGAGAGTTCTGCAATATTACATTTTAATTCATTAAGAGAAAAGCTGCAATTATAGTTTTCTTCATTTGAAGACGTAAAATCAACAGTTGTCTTTTCAGAAGACATTTTTACTTTTTTGAATTCAGGGTTGTAATTGTGGGTAGAGGAATTTCCGGAGAGAGTTGATGCTATACAGTCAGCTACTGTTTTTTCGGTTTCTACGAAGGAGTCATTCGGTTTTAGGATGTTTTTGATTGTGCCTTTTTTAGTACCTTTTAAATTCTTTATCATATTCCAGACTTTATGCATTGGTGTGTTGTTTAAATTAGAGACATAATTTAGAAAAGATGGGTTTTTTTGGCTGTTCTGATTATTCTGCGTGCTTGGGCTTGCGCAATTTGGAAATTAATGAGGTCTTCGTTTGTTTTAGAGTTGACGAACTTCCTGAGAGCCGATTTTTTGGCCGCAACAGCTTTTTGACAGTCTTCAGTAAACCAATATTTATTTTTTCGGGGTTTGGTGGATAATTTTGGTATGTGTTTTTGAACGATTTCGAGAAGGGTTTCATGAAATTGTTCAAAAGTTTGTGTTTGTGTTGGATTGAGTTTCTCCAGACATTCCATGTGAAACCCATCCCAGTCCGCTCTTTTAAGATTGAAACGGTCCGGGATAGGAGTTGGGTGTGGAATGTCTGGAATTAGGTTGATGGGGAAGTGGTCCGATCCGTGTGGGTCGTCCAGGACCGACCACTGAAAGTCTGGAATTAGGTCAGGATCACATAGGGTTAAATCTATGGATGAAAAGTTTAGGTTATTTGAATTTTGAAATGTTGGGGAATTGTCGTTAAAAATACTAGTATTGGTTTTTGTTAAGAAATCTTCTATGGTTTTACCTTCAGTGTCAGTTGGTTCAATTCCCCAAAGAGGGCTATGGGCATTAAAATCTCCCAACATGATGAAGGGTTGTGGGAGCTGGTCTGAGGTTTATTAGTTCTCTTAAAGATAGAGGATAATTTGGAGGGACGTATATTGAACAGATAGTTATAGGACAGTGTAGGGTGACCCTGACTGCAACTGCCTGAAGTGTTGTGTTTAGTTGTATTTGTCTGTGTAGTGTTTGGTTATTTATTAAAATGGAGTTGCCCCCAAAGGCGATTTGGTTGTCGGTGTATATTTGGTTGTAAGTTTGATAGTTTTTAAATGTGAATGTGGGTGTTGGCAATTTAGTTTCTTGTAGACAGATTACATTTGGGGTGTGTGATGTCAAAAGATAAGAGAGTTCTGCCCGGTTTGTACGCAAACCGCGAATGTTCCACTGAAGAACTGCCATTTTTATTTATTTTGAGGGCACGGGTTCGGTACATTTTTTGGGGGTCATAGGTGACCTTTGTCTTTTTTGGAAGGAGAGTGTGGAGGGGGAGGAGGACCGGAGTCCCGGATGCGGGTAGAGGTTGAAGCAATGAGGGTGTATGATGTGGTGATTTGTGTGAGGATGATGATGGTGAGGATGTTGTGGGTGAAGATGATGATGGTGAGGATGTTGTGGGTGAAGATGATGATGGTGAGGATGTTGTGGGTTAAGATGATGATGGGGGTGATGATGAGAATAATGAGGGTGAGGATGATGGGGGGGGTGAGGATGAAGAAGATGGCTGAGAGGGTGGTGATGAGGAGGGGGTGTGGGGAGATGGCGGATGGAGGGTGGGAGAGGTAGGAGGGGAGGAAGTGGACTCCATGTCCTCCTCCGTCTCCAGACTGGAGTGTTGTTTTTTGCAGGTGTCCTGCTTTCTATATGTCTGAAGGACCTTTCGGGTCGGGTTTACTGACCCTGGGACAATCTTCAGGACTTCTGAACATGTTTTTGTTGTATTCTTTGGCGTCGATCCTTTTGGGTATAGCGTTGCTCTTGCTTGAGCGAACTTTCCGCCGTACTGGGCCCTATGTGTGAGGATGACTTCCTCCTGACACCACTTCGGACACTCCGTCAAAGATGCAGTGTGACCCCCCTTGTCGACAATTTGGACACCAGGGATCTGCAGAGCAAGTCTCCCCAGAGTGTCCTTCCTTGCCGCAGCGAGGACACGCTGCACCACGACGACAGTGCAACTGTGTGTGTCCGAAGCGCGGACAGTTGAAACAGCGTATCGGTTTCGGTATATATGGTATAACTTCGAGTTCTAAGTATGCAATGTCTAATTTTGTTGGTGGTGTGGGTGTGTTGAAGGTAAAGATCCACGTGTTGGTACAGATTTCTCACCATCAATCTCCAGGGCTCCCCACCCGCCACCGAATCCAACAAGGGGACACCGCTCGGAAGTCCATAGCTGGTGTCAGGGCTACCCTGGAGGTATACTCCCAATCAGATGGCAAGAAATCTTACCTTCTAACCAAGATTGGCCATAAACCGGTTCTATGAACCGGTCGCAACCGATTGAGTGCAGTAGGCCACTGCACCCGCCCGTCTAGACCGAATCCAGGGCCAAAGTGGCGTGTTGGTGAGGAAAACCACACCTCAGCCACCAGGGTCCCTTTCTCCGGTCGTACGAGTCGCACCCCACGGTCAACGGGGTGCCTCGGATTTGGGGTCTATTCTTTGCTGGACCGGACCTTCGGTCGATAGAACAGAAAGAAAGATAGAAGGATAGAAGACATAGCAAGAGCGGACAAAAGATGCCACCCCTACGTCAGAGAGCTAGTGACGTACGCGTGGCATCCCACCAGCGGGGGGGTTACACCCCCTGTTGATGGGACAGCCAACTATTTTTATTTTATTCCCCGGTCAGCTCGGGGAAGGACGAAAGAAGAAGGAAGAAAGACGATAGAAGACAGACGATACACCAAAGCAAGTGTCGCCCATGTGCACCTAAGCGTAGATGTCCATGGGCGACAAATCGCCAGTGAAGGGGTTGCACCTCCTCCTGGCGGAGCAGTGGGTCTATTTATATCCCCCCGACCCACTGGGGGGTTTTAAGATGTGTGGTTTTGCCAATCTGTAGACTTGACAGCGCTCGGGGAAGGACGAAAGAAGAAGGAAGAAAGACGATAGAAGACAGACGATACACCAAAGCAGGTGTCGCCCATGTGCACCTGAGCGTAGATGTCCATGGGCGACAAATCGTCAGTGAAGGGGTTGCACCTCCTGCTGGCGGAGCAGTGGGTCTATTTATATCCCCTCGACCCACTGGGGGTTATCTCCCAGACTGGACTAAATATGTACCTTACTCTATAATAACTCTCTTACTGCCTCACTTTTCGAAACAGAGCAAACAGGACCAGTCCAAGTGTGGTTTTCCCAAGAGGGGGGAATAGGCTTTCATAACGCAAACACAATGCCATACCACTTGTCAAGATGTTTGCTATTCTGTTTCTATTCTTCTCTCATGTAGTTAAGCAAATAAAAATGACTACATCTATTGCATTGCAACTAAAATGCAACACAAATGCAAGTTATCAAGGCCCCTGTATAGTTTTCAAATATCCTTACCCTGTATTTCCGGTTCCGATAAGCGGGGCTTCGTTTTTAAAGCCCGAGGCCACCGATGGCTGAAGACGTCACCGAGTAGAGTTTTCCAAGCCGCCGGTCGTTTACCCAGCACGCGCAAATGGCAATGTCGTTTTACCCTTAGTTACTCCCACATTTTTAAAGATTACGCAAAACCGCTAAACACATAAGCATGAAATTTTAACGGAATAAAGAAAAGTGGTGTACAACGTATCCGTCAATTTGACGAATCACAACTCCGAAAAATCTTCAAAGCGTACCACATCAACCACTTTCGCAAAGATTTTCGACTGCTTCTAGGATGGGTACAAAGTTGTCAACCGGCATACTACGAGATTGAAATCTTGTCTGATTGGCTGCCAAGTTTCATTCACATCCATTCACGAGAAGCGGCGTGAGAGCCAGTTGAAGACAACAACCATTGCGTTAGTTCGTCCCACGAAACACCCCCGCGGCGGGGGGCCAAAAATCGGCAGAACAAAACATGCTCGGTGGGCATTGCTACATTGAAAATTCAAATGACCACACAGTAACTAGCATGCAAGCAAAAGTCACCTTGAGAGGCAGTCGCGATGCGGTGATGCAGGTCTCCAGGGTCTGGATACAATTCTCTTTGTCCCCCCACACCTTGAGCTTGGTCACTAAATCGCGCAGGAGATCAGCCGTACTTCTGTCTGAGTCCACTTGACCATTTGTCTGCTCATTTGGCTGGAAGTGAGAATGGAGAGGAGAGAAGAAAAATAGATGTCATTTTCATCAGAGTAATCAAATCAATTTCATTTTTTGTAGTATTTTAATCCAATGTAACACTGAAAAAAATCGTGACGGTTTAAGTAAGTTGTATTCTTTAGCAATTCTAGCTTTTGGTAAAATCAGGGGTTGAAGGAAGAACATGTTTTCAGAAATACACAGAGCAAATGATAGCTTCAATATCATCATCTTGATGATTGGAAATTCCTGAAATAATTCGACAATCATTTTGTGAAAGAAACTCACTCAAGAGAGATAGTTACTTCAGAGTATTGTCTTCATCCTGTTTCTATCCTTCTTATTGACTCATTTCATTGAGCAGAGCTCTCCAGCCTTTGAGAAAGCCGAAGTGTTTTGTTCTAAAAATTTCTAAACATAGAAAGATCAAACTGGCCTCTCTACCCACCTTGTCGTTGGCAATCTCCGAGTTCGCTGACCCTTCAGAACCTGTCGCCCGCTTCGACATGTCAGCCTTGACAGCACCACCTCCCCAAGCCCCGGCCTTCTCTGACTTTCCTGCACCAGCTTCTGTCTTGGATGACTCTGTGAGAACCTTTCTTCCAACCACCAATCTCATAGGACGAGATCCGCGAGAACTAAGTCGAGGGTAGTAGCCACGACCTCGGGTGAATGGCCGAGAGTTGAGCGGACGACCTCTGGAGAAACTCTGACCTCTGGTTTGCGAAAAACCCCAAGTAGCATCTCGTGCAGATGCATGACTTTGAACTGGGCCACCTTGTATCCCCTGGGCTGAAATATCACAGCATTGAGAGAACAGTGGGCATTTCCCTGTTCCATCATCAACACAATACTGCTATCAGCCAATAAAACGACCCTATTTTTTTTATTCACAGCAGTTTCGAGGAAAAGAGGCTTTTTGTCAGCGTAACCATTAAAAAAGACCTTCCGGAATTTTAATTCTAATTTATTCAAAAACTAGTCCCAGTTTCATTTGATTTTTTCACACAAATAGGGTAACTGATCAGGCTTTCCATTTAGCGCATTAAAAAAAAAACTGGTACTGAAAATGAAAACAGGTGTTTTGTCAGCTTAGGGCAGAATAATCCTTCATTGTTGGGGAAAAGCAAGTGCATCTTAGTAAAGACAAAAATACACCAACAATAATAATCTAATGATCATATAGTACAGGGAGGAAAAGCAAGACCAACAGAAACAACAGTGAGAAAGAAAAGCAGTAGAACTCACAAGTGGCCCTCAGCGGAAAGAGTGTTTCCCAAGTAGCTTTTTTTTTTTGCGTAAGAATGATTTTTTAAATTTGCAGGAGGAATTTTCATTGTCCAGAGAATGGACACTCACAAAGATTTGTGAAAAAATAATCTTTTATAATATTATCTTGTTAATAGAACATAGTCACTCGTACGTAGTTGAATTATCAATATGTTGTACAGTAATACAAGCATTTATGTACACTCATGTGATCCCCACATCTACCCACAGTAGCACATAGCAGTAGTTGCTTCCCTTGTGCCAGGCGTTTTAATGATCGTATAATTGCGCGGTAATCTTAAGATTGCACTGCACCTTTAAATGATCGTATAATTGTATCATTCTTGTGAGCTATTCAGTTTCATATCATATCTTAATTTTAATTTCAATTTTCATATTTTTACACTTTTGAAAATATACATGAATGTTCCTTGATGTGAGTAAAAGAAAAATGGAAGTGAATTTCAAAAAAATATTTTTAAAATATAAAATAAATTAAATGTACTTTGTGAAGTTTGAGTGTGATACCTGGCATTGTATCATTCTTGTGGGCTCTTCAGTTTCATACTTTAATTTTGATTTTAATTTTCACATTTTTGCTCTTTTGAAAATATATGTGAATGTTCCTCTATGTAACAAACTTTTGATTGCTGCACACTTATATGATCTTAAAAACCTGCAGATTGCAAGATTGCCCTGATCGGTAAATTGCGCGGAACATATTCACTACAAGACCGTGGCTCCTTGATTTATGATTTCTGAGGGGAGGTAACTATCACTGGAAGGTGTTCCTTAGAGGGCCGGCCGATCAACAATACACAAAAGAGGGAATATTTGAGCGGGGTATATACCCTAACCCTAGCCCAAGCCCTAACTCTTGTATAGTTTGCTCAGTGGACCTCGTCACGGAAAGTGCCGGCCCTCTGCCGAACTCCTACCCAATCACGGTCATGCTCTTAGACCATGAAGAGCACGAAAATTTCTTATTCACCAAAATACAGTGTTTTACAGTTCACATGAGTACAGACATGCCTACAGATGCAGATATACTCAAAGCAGCTGCTTAAAGACATCGTAAATTCACATTCTTTTGATATTGGTACAAAACTACCAAGTTAAATCAAGAAAAAGTTGAAAAAAGCATGCTAATTTTGTACATTACTCACATTGAGAATAGAAATTTTGTCCATCCTGCAAGATGAAAAAAGAAAACAGTATTCAGTGGAATATTCATAGAGAGCTTAATCAAAAAAATAATTTTTTCTTACAAACAAGGTGCCTACTCTAAGTGGTGGGTGGATTCAACAAATATCAAAAAAAAGTAAATTCTATAATAACATATGGAGATAACCAGATCTCTCTATTCACCAAAACATGCATGCTTTGTGCAAGAAAAATACAGTTTCATGTCATTTACCTTCTTCACGATCACGGCGTCACTTTTCACCCGATTCTGTTACTTTTAGTTAGTGTGACTCAGCAGCCCGCCGAAGCTCCCCGGCTCGGGGTCACGGGGTTAATGAGCCCTGAAGCGACTTTGCCGGTGTCGGTCAGGAAGTTGGAATTTTTTACTATGTTTAAAACGATATAACTTCTTCCCCATCCCACATAGCAAACCATTACGCGGATGTACTAAAAGCTCAATGTCTTGAGATTTATTCTGCGTTAGAATGGTTAGTTTCTGTGCCTTAGATTTTGTTCTAGACAAGTGTTTGTAGAGTACCCAATTTGTCCTATTTTAGTTACAAACATGAATAAATGATTGTTAATTTTAAAAAGACGACAGATCTCTCCAAAATCTGTATTAAACTGACTACGAATATCATGTCTTTTACCATGAGAAATCTTAAATCTGCGCGACTAGTAATAGTCAAGTTATAAGAGAAGAAAGATGCACATCTGCATTTTTTAACTAAAGACGATCAGTGTTAGCTCTTATTTTACTATTAAACAAGAGAAAGTTACTCTGCGTTTGTTCATGAATCATGCTGTGTCTGTGGCAGCCTGCGTACAACTAAAAAGATATAATATAGAATCTAAGCGATTAAAAAACCCACAAAACCGTGTAAATACATGGGTAGAGATAAACTTCTATGGAATAAAAATAACGACAGCTAAAACATTCATTCTTAGATTTTGTGTAGGAAATATGCGCGGACACAATTATGAAAGTAAAGAAATCAGTCACATTGTCAGTTATTGCAAATGGTCATAGAAACGAAAAAAAAGCTGGAAAAGTCTGGTGCTGATTCAGTGTCCCTGGAAAGCTAGAAATTATTCTTATAACCCTATTACGAGAAGTCATCCCTATTTATCAGTCAACTTACAAAACCTAGACTTTGCGTTTTAAGAAAAGTAAAGAATTTCTGGAGTGTAACAGATACTGTTCGTGTATTAGATCTACGTTGAAGATGTATTCTAGCAATATTCACCTCATGGTAACTTTTATAAACTTTCGAGAAAATATGCGAATATTCACGATTATATTAGACACAAAGTTGTATTTGGAGGAATTACTTCATAGTGAATTGTGTGCCCGATGGATAAAATTGTAAAATTAGTCTTCTATTATATGCGCAGATACCATCTTTTCTGAGTATCTGCACCAATGTTATGTTGTTCATGTTCCAAAAGTTCAACAGATTTTGACGATGCCTTTTTTTTTATATTGATTTTTTTTCATTCACGCTAGTCCCCAAAATATTAAAATTTAGCATTGCCGACTCCAGCGCGTCTAACGAAATAACCAGACTAGCTACAACGTCCGTTCTTTTTTGAGTCTCAAGAGCAGAAATGTGTGCTTTGGGTGCACTAAATGAGAATTACCATAAATACAAGGACACACCTTAAATTGTACGTTGAATAGTACCAAAAATTAGGTTGGCCCAGACAGGGCAGCGACAGGGAGCTGACCCCCGTGACCCCGACGTGATAAGGCGCCCGGCGGGGACCCCCCCCCCCCCCCCCCCCCGGCAACTAAAATTCCACTGCCGGTGCGCCGTGCGATATGTGTTAACAGGATGGCAGATATAATCATAGTTTTCTTTCTTTTCTTTTCAATTATTTCCCTTTTTACTTTTTTCCCAGAAATAAGTGCAGACAAAAAATGAATGCTATAAAGTATTATAAAGCACAAAAACCAATTGAGAAAAACAATTTTGATCATCATGTAAACAGTGTTATCCCTTACCCGACTGCCATAGCTGGAAAGCACGTCACTGTCGAAGGACTTATCCCTGTTTCCTGCAATGCCCTGGCCAGGATACGAGTTCATCCAGGTGTAGCCTTGACCAGAACCTGCGCCACGATCGTCAAGGACCGAGGAGCGACGGAGACCATAGTCGTACTGAGGAGTGTCGTAGTCCAGGGGAGGGAAGCGCTTTATGGGAAAAGCCAAGTCAGTGTCAGCACGGAACAATTTCGCCGGCACGTCAAGGCTGTTGTTGGAGAGCAGCTGCCTCTTGTTCTGGAACCTCGTCTCACCATAGTATGGGTTCTCGTTCATCATAGGCACGTTCTTTGTGTCTGAAAGAACACACAGCATTTATCACAATGATGATGAAGGATAATTGCAACTACTACAAACAGTAAGAAAATTCTAAAACACACTTCCCCTTCCTCACACCACCCTCTGTATTCTACAGCCATGGTAACAACACTAGGGTGGGCAGAAAGTAGAGACAAAAGCAGATGACAGTTCATGGTTAGAGAGCAGGAAAGGAGGGGGAAAAATAACTTTGAAAGCCCTCATCTTCGTTTTGATTTTTTTTTAAAGCTCATCTCGCAAAATCATCGCAATTGACAGAACACATAGCTCTCTGCAATTGTAATTGTCACAAGAGCATTCAATAAAATTGCATGAACAACCAAACAGCTTGTCTTCTTTCACCTGCAGGCACTCGACGATATTCGCACACAATCCCGTACACAGCCCGCCTCCAATGAGGCACCACTTGATATGACGAACTAACCCCCGAAGAAATTCTTCCATCTGATCGGAAAGTTCTGCTTCTTGTTTTCTGAGTTGGGGAATGTCCACTGATGCAATCATACACATTTCCGAATACATTATGATGAGTATAATTTGTTCCACTTAAAGTACATCGACTTTTCTCAGACTCTGTAAAAGATGTCTGGTGGCTGAAATCCCCAAAACCATCCATCTGCTGACCATAGCAAGGCCAGCTGGCATCAGACATCAGTGTGTCCTCAAGAAAACCAAAACTGCAGACAGTACGATAATCGCCCTCAGAAAGTAGCGACCCTTCTGGGAGGTCATTTTCCTTCAGTCTGGGATGTCCACAAGAACCTCCGGGATTGTCCTCGGAGGACACATAATTTGCTAGCATACTCTGAGGCCAAACCTTGGGAAACATCCCTCTGTGCTCTAAGTTTGGGCTCAAAGATCTTCGTTTCTCACAGAAAAGGTCAACTGACAGTGATACCTTTACAATTTGTCAATTACACTAACTAAACTTTCAACAACTGGCAACAAAAAGGTGAAATTGCGTCTTTCAACAAAAACAAACCACCAAAACTGGCACATTAATTCATTAGTTTTTAGCTATGTGCGACTTTACAATGCAAGCAAAGTATCTGAAACAAAGGAAGGCTGAAATACACAGTTGTTCACTTCAAAGTTTTCAAGACACTGGGGAGTAGAGTCCTGACACTGGCTCAGCTCAAAGTAAATGTAACTCAGACTGGGGAGGCAATAAAATTGGGGGGTGGGATGGGTGGTGGTTGAGCTCAGTCTTTGTTGTGAGCTGCAGGCCCCCAAGTCCCAGCAAAACTAACTAGGCTAAGCTGAATAAACACAAGCACTAGCTGACAACTTGTCACTGCAAAGCAACAAAGCAAGACATGTGAACTTTCAATTCCATACAAACACTCAACACACCCACATAAATATATAGATCTAGACCTATAGGGGGCCTGTATATATATTTTTTTTAATCTTATTTTAAGAACCTCTTGACCCATAACATAAAATAGCCAAATATCTTGGTACTTTGTGAAAAAATATATTTAAACCTAGATCCCAACCCCAATTTTTCACCAACTGAGTCAATAATGAGAATCATGCCTTCCCTTGTGATGAACATCAAGAAGAACAACACTGTCTACACAACAGTAAAGGACCTTAGACTTAGAACAAATGGACTCTCCTCTCTCTCTTTGCGATGCTGCAAGGCGGCATGGCAAGGTGAAGAGGAAAGGTCTCCATGAACTGCAGGTTTTTAAGAAATAGAATCCTATAGGGCTGAGCAACTGTGTGGGGGATGGGTGGGGGG